GCATCATGCGAAATTGCGAAAACTTAGGATTTAGGTAAACCCACCAACGGCTTATCGAATGCTGAAAGATTTTGTAGATTTGAATAAAGGAGACACTATCATTCAAAATGGCGCCAATTCGTCAGTGGGAAAAGCAGCAATTCAGGTGTTAGCATTCAAGTTGTTGTTTCATGTGACTTTCGGAAGTAAGCGCGTTTCAGATTTGTCGAATTCGGGGTATTCGTTCTATAAATATTGTTCGCAAAAGAGATGACATGACACCTCTTGTTAGCGAACTGAAATCGCTTGGAGCTGATGAGGTTCTTACCGAAGATCAGCTTTTCAAAGAGTATCGGTAATATATAGTTACGTATAATACACTTTATGGAACTAATTTTTGTCAAGTCTTAGTGGCAAAATAAAGAATGTGCGTTTGGCGCTGAACTGCGTTGGTGGAAGGTCTGCCTTGCTGTTAGCCAGCACACTTGGACATCGTGGATGCATGGTCACTTATGGAGGAATGAGCAAACAACCATTGCAGGTTTCAACTTCACCGCAGAAATTTGTTTTTATCTGCGTAATTGCTCGACTGGTAGATGTAAGGTGCTAACTTCAGATTCCAACTGGGCCCTTAATTTTCAAGGACATTCGTTTGGTTGGTTTTTGGATGTCGCGATGGTATGAGGATGCACAAAATCTTGAAGTTCTTTTTAAAATTCTTTGGTCTTGAAGACTTTGAAAAGTAGTTCTTTTGTGTTAAAGGAGCGTAAAAGGATGAATGCAGATTTGACATCTTGGATAAAGTCGGGAGAATTTCGTGTACCTTCATACGAAAAACGGACTTTGGAACAGTACAAAGAAGCAGTTGAAGCAGCTGGGACAAGTTTTGTTATGAAGCAATTATTTACACTGAATTAGTTCCCAATATTTACGTATGTTTTGGTAGATTGATGAATATTTATTTGCTACTAATAACTATTTTTTCAACATCTGTCTGAGCCAGATGAGCTACTTGATCGATTCTCTTTCAATTAAAATCTCTTCTGCATTTTCTAAACACTTCACATTCATGTAACAAACTGTCTTTCTCCATCACTGGCATTGACTGTTATACTTCAGGATTTACTGGCAAATCACTGTACATGCATTAAATCATTCATAATCACTTGTCAGATCACCTGTTAACGTAATACTGCGCGATCATGCCTAATCTTGCCGCATAGCGGGCTCCTGTATGAAATAAGCTTTTATGCTAGTTGAATCCTTTGAAGCTGTGAAAGATGTCCGCAAAGTTGTTGAGATAACATTCGCAGGTGTCATTCTAGCAAGTCATTCTAAGGTGTTTCTGATTGCATTAATTGCGCTAGAAAGTCGATTTCCTCGCTTGGAAATCTCATGTGGGAAAAATGTGTATCTCGTACAAAGCGTCCTCTTCCGGTTGATGGGGCGATGCGTTTCTCACATAATCACGGATTCCGCCATGGTCTGTTTGATGACTTCTGGTGGAAACATGCATT